CTCGGCCCCAGGAGAGGTAAGGGCTTGGCGCTCCCGCCTCCAGCGCCGAGCCGCCAGCACACAGCCACAGGCTGGCTCCCGTCTGCGTCTGCGGGACAGACGCACATCCCCAGGATGCTTATGTCTGGCTTCCCTCCCATGACACCTGCCAACCCGAGAACTTGGACACGGGCAGCACAGGAACCCCACAACGTGTCGGCTCTCACCCACTTTGCCACTGCCCTCTCCACTGCGCTTCCCCACTGCAAGCACCTAGCCTAGTCACTACTACCGCCACTCCTTTGCTTTGAGCACTTTACATTGATCTTCCCAGTTCCTCAGCCTGCCCTTGGACTGCACCGTCATTCTGCCTCCTCTTACCACCACCACCCTCGCCGATTCAAGCCGGATCTCTGGGCGTCTTCCTTGTTGCATCCACACTGACAACCTCTGCCTTTTAATTGCAGTTTTTCGGCCAGTGCACTTTATTGCACTCAAGGCAGTAGATTCAGTCTTACAGCTCTCACCTAGCACCCATACACAAATCCAGGCTTAGTTTTCCATGTCTAGCACAACATACACATTAGACTTCATTATGACTGCCATTATTATTATTACCTGTAGTTAGTTGTGTCAAGGACTTTCAACTGCACATATCAATTTCCAGTACATTGCATCGTGATCAATGTCACAGGTTTATGAAGTGAAAGTAAGGAGACAGTAGAGCTCCAAGGCCTGGAGGGAGAATGGGTTCTGGGACAACTTCGGGCTGATAGGACTTGAGGAGAGGGTCAGCAGGTACCTCCCGCAGGAGGGGTCCTGCAAGATTGACAGTTTTGACTGGCAGGTGGGGGTTATGTGACGGCTTTTCAACTGCTCAGGGCCAACCCACAAAGCATTCAGTAGTAATGATGCAAATGATATGCGGGGCAGAAACATGAAGCCTTGATTTGGGGTTTCTCCAGAAAGTGTTGCAGCCCTCTCCTCCTAGGTGTGGATCTTGGTGACACAGTCGACATCCCTGGAGGGAACATGCAGGTGATGAGGAGGTGACACCCATTGGGCAACCTCAGAACCAGGCACATACAACTTTATGCAAGCCTTGGGGCAGGCTTTTGGAGGTGACCTTGGAATGTTCCTGTAGGCAGGGGTGGACTCCTGAGCCAGGCTCACGGGTGGCCCTCAAAACCATGGACCCTGTTTGATCCTCCTTTGTGCCACAGAGACTCATCCCCGCTTTGGCCCATCCATCGTCCGTGCTCTAGTTGATCATATGATATATATCTCATACACGGGAGAAACCCTACAGTGAACATTATCACAGTTTTTGCATCGCCATGTGTACCACCAGTACGTATCTGGTGAGCAAATAGAAGTTCTGTAGGACTTTCCCACGTAGGTCCTTTTTCTGCTGTCCTTCATTCCTGCACAAGGTCAAGGTTGTTCCCTTCTTCTGGCTTAGGTCGGGACACTTCCTTTAACACTTCCTTTGGCACACAGTTCACGGCATGAGTTCACCAGCCTTCTGTGTGTCTCAAAGTGGCCTTATTGTGCCTTCGTTCTTGGTGAATGTTTGCCGTGGAGGTAGAAATAGACTTGCGTGATAAACATTTCTCCCCTTCCTCCCAAAAGTAAAGATGCTCTTCCCCTGTCTCCTGGCTCCCATTGTCTCCGTTGAGAACTCAGGAGATCTTCTTCCTTGTGTGCCATGCTTCATGTAGCTGTGCCTTCCATAGAGCATTTCCCCTTCTCCTTTTCTTTGCCTTATTCTGACTGCTGGCTAAACTGCGTATGGTTCTACCTCATATTCAACTTCCTGGGGGTCCACTGAGCTTTTAGAATCCATATGTTCTGTTTCTCTTTCACTCTCTCTGTCTGGAATCTTCAGGCGTTGTTTCTTCATGAAGTTTTTTCTCCTCCTCGCTGGTTCCTCCAGCAATTCCATATGAATATTAGACATGTTTTGCCATGCTCCTGCCATCCACTGAGGCTCTCTGATCTCTCTGTTCCTTCTTCAGGTCTTGTTGTCCCCTCCTTTCCACAGAATGGATCGAGTTGACTTACCTCTCCTCCTCCAGTTCTGTATGCTCGTGACTGTGACCCATAGTCTCTTACTGTGACCATGCAGTGAAGCCACAATCCCAGCACTTCAGAGAGAGTCTGAGGCCAGAGGATTGCCAGCTTGGAGCCACCCTGCTTTACGTAATCAACTCTGGTCCCGCCCAGGTTACACAGAGAGACCCTGGGCCACAAAAGCACCATAGACTGAAAACGTTGTGTAATGAACTTTTTACTTCAGATATCTTTATCATCTTCAGTTGTGGATGTATAACTCATTCTTTTCTCTGCTTTCTTTTTCTCATCTGAAATTTCTTTTCCATACAACTTCATTACAAGCCTGTTTTATGTTCTTAGGCATATTTGAAAACATTGTAATGTCATCTCAAGGTCATTTCCTTCCACTGTTTAAAGGAAGAAAAAACACCTCAGATCTTTTCTTTGTTTCCTTAGTAACTTATTTTCTTCTTCCTCCCTTCATCTGGTACTTGAGCATTCTATCGTGGTATGACCAGTAATGTGTCCTAGTGCCTTTCCTATTTCCTGGTCTCTGCTACCTGTCTCCACAGAGGTTTTGTTGCTGCTGCTACTGCTGCTGCTTTCCTCCTACTTGTTGGATCCAGTAAATACAGTCACCAACCCGGTTTCTCTTGTGTTTGACATCAGCGGAAGCCCTCACTCGGTTCATTTTTTGGAGCCTATGCTGTGCATTCAAGCTCTGGGGCCAATCAAGAGTTTTGCAGAGGGTTTCCCGTATACACCTCATTTGGGGATCCTTTTCTGTGTGTGCCCCTTTCAGGATCACCTCTCTTTGCTTTCTCTTAGCTGTGCTCACCCCAAAGTCTGCCTCTGGGTTTAAGCCACCCAGCACGGCACCCTCTGAATCCCACTCGTGCATACACTTACGTAAATAAGCCCCTCGCCTGTGCTACTTCCATCCTTGGACCTTGCATTCTTCCATGGCTCCTGCCTCCCGTTGCTTAGTCTCTTGTGCTGTTAGGAGGTTTTGCTACTCATCTTCTGCCCGGGATTCATAGTTCTTACGTGCTGGAGAGTGCATCTGTCAGGGGCTACCCCACCACGGCTGAAACAAAGCCTGACTTATGTTGGACAAGGTCACTTGGGCATGCACACTTGCAAGAGCCCCCTACCTGACCCTCCCTTGGTTTCAATATAGTGTCCCTCTCCAGCCCTTCTTCTCATAGCATCTGACGCATCATTAGCACAACTTTCTGAAAACCTGATTTTAAAACTAGGCTCACAAGTTTTTGGTTTTGGGCCAGTTGTGGGGCTTGAACTCTGGGCCTGGGCGCTGTCCCTCAGCTCTTCAGCTCAAGGTGAGACACAGTGCCACTTCAGTTCTCTGGTCTTTTATGGAGATAAGAATTTCACGGACTTTCCTGCCCAGGCTGGCTTTGAACGGCGATCCTCCTATCTCAGCCTCTTGAGTAGCTAGGATTACAGGCCTGAACCACCAGCACCTGGTCCCCCAAATTTGTTGACAATTCTCCTTTGAAGGACTGTAGCTTCAGTTTCTCACCCCGGGTGTGTTGGCTTAGGCTTTGTAACGCCACTCACTGCTAACCCTGGTAACACAAACCCCATCCATGCTTAACATTCATGGATTACCCAATTTGTTGATATCCCTAACTGTGATCAACTTTAAGTAGACACCCATTTTGTTGTGGAATTTAACCTGTTGATAACTGCTATGAATACTCTAAAGTGGAACCGTCCACACAATTCCGGTCTTCAGCGGCTGCATCTTACCAGACTTGCACGTTCGGGGACTTGTGCCCAGGTTGATGTTTATGACAAAAGTGCTTTAAAATCATGATATGTTTGAAAGTGGTCACTCAAAC